ATAGAGAGTTCCCTGGTGGTCGAGTAGTTAGGACTTGGTGCTTTCACTGCTGTGGCCTGGATTCAGTCGCTGGTGGGGGAACTAACACCCCGCGAGCCTCACAGAATGACCAAAAAACAAACAAACAAACAAAAAAAACCCCAAACTTTTTGGGATTGACATGTACACATTGCTATATTCACAATAGATAATCAGCAAGGACCTACTGTATAGCACAGGGAACACTGATCAATATTCTGTACTAACCTAAATGGGAAAAGAATTTGAAAAGGAAATAGATATGTGTATATGTACAGTTCAGTCACTTTGTTGTACACCTGAAACTAACAGAACATTGTTAATCAACTATGCTCCAATACAAAATAAAACTTTAAAGAAAAAAAATAATATTATTGTATTTTAAGAGATATATTAAAATGGTGTTTAAAAGAATTTTTCTTTTAAATGGAGCCAGCCAGCATTGTAACCCAGGTCTATCTGATTCCAGAGGCCACCATCTTTCCATGGTATCAGAGTGACCTGTATTTATGAAATAATCAGAAACTTTTCTTATGGAAGGGAAGAGGTGAAGGGATAGGGACTAACTTTAGGAGTAGTTAAGTTAAGTTAAAATAATTGCATAAGGTGGATGTCATGAGTTTTCATCCTTAAGTACATCCCCTTCTTAGTGCTGGGATAATTGTATTAGCTCTGGCTATTGTGTACAAAATAATATCTATCTAGACTCTTGAGAGAACAAGAGGTTGAATGATATTTAGTAGTAAATAAGTTATCTTAGATAAGATAACTTAGATAAGAAAAGTGTACTTTTCTCTTTCAGTAAAATTGAGAGAAACAGGAATTAGGATATTGAAGTAGGAAGATACTACTTCTAGTAAATGAAGAAGGAAAATAAGAAACTGAGGGTAGAAGACATTGAATTGCAAAATTGTCTTGCCCTCAAGTGGCATTTTGGGCTAGGACATACAGAGAAACACCTCTGTCATTGAGCACTGACACCTGTTATATCAAGTGTGGTATCTTTGACTCTCATAGCTGGTGGTAGTGTTGGAAGATCCAGAAACATGGAGACAGGCAGGCAGAAATTTAATTCCTAGGCAGGTCTTCCAGTTAACTACCTGACTGACACTTAGATCTTTAAATTCTCTTAGCTTCAGTTTCTTCAACAAGAAATGAAGAATATCTAACTCTGGGGTTGTGTGGACTAACTTCAGTAATACTGTGAAATGCTTTGCACAGAAAAAGTGCTGTATAAAATGAACAGTGGTGATAGTTAATAACATTATTAATGTTAACAATTATAGTCCTTTGTAATGATAAAGATACTAGAAACAGTAATGGTGCATTATGATGTACATAACATGTAATCATTAAATAGAACTACTTATAATTTGTTTTTTATTAAGTGGTAAAGTACATAAAAAAAGATGCTTTAGTTGAACTGTATATCACTTATGTATTTTATCTTAAAATGAGACATTATTCCTTGAATATTTAGTGCAGTTATGGATTATGCTGTCTTCCTTCATTTGTTTGAATAATTACTTTCTGCCTGGGTATCACAGGAACCTGATTAAAAATCACCAATAATACTGATTCTTTAACTGCTCTTCATGTTATTTAGGGAGGTGTGAAAAATAATTATATCTGTTAACAAAAATTATCAACTTATGCAGCTGAGCATCAGTATCTTTACTTTACCTGGGTTTTCAAGATCATCAATAGCCATTTTTGTAATAGTGAACAATTGAGCTCCCCTCTTGGAACCTGAAAATGAGAAAATAGAAAAAAAAAAAAAAGACTTAAAGAATTCACAGAGTCACCCATATATGTTCCGCATACTAATCTGAAACTCTGCCTGAGGGCACAGCAATGCCCTCCCAACCTGAATTCAGTTCCCACCCCCTGGCTCTCAGGAGATCAGGAGTTGAGAATCAGACTAGCACCTATACTAATAATACTTTTAAGACATTGAAGGAAGCCATTTATCAGAATCAGGATGTTTCTAAAGTGGTGTTTGTCAGCTGAGACATTTAGATTTGTTCTCATGACAAAGAAGAATGAGGTTAAATTAATCAAGCAATCACCAAACTTTTGCTTTGGTAAAGAAATTAAATACTCAATCTGAAAATTGGTTGAAGGATCCTTGTAGAGCTGGGTCTATGTGGCCACTGAAAAAGCATTTCAGAGGGAAATGTTAACGTGAGGTCCCATAGTACACTGAATCCCCTTAGAGGTTTCCCTCTTTTGTAGTAAAAACATAAAAATAAGCACAGAGTAGTGAGTTTTTCTAAAAATGATTCTTGCTTTCACTTAAAAGGCACACATTCTGAGATTATAGCATTCTGTAGCTATCTAATCTATCTAACATCCATGAAAAAAATTAATCAATCTAGGAAAGATATGGAAAATTCATTTTGAGTCAACCTGAGGATTATAACCTGGGAGAGAGTCTTTCAGAAAGCTTTGAGGACTGTTCACCCTTTAGAGGTCAAAGCAGTTACGCACGTTTTTGAGACAAAGTGTTTTATTTTGAATGACATATTGACAGTTTATACACCCCAGATCTGCATGTACAAAGCAAGTGGGGTCATCCCAATTCCTTACAAGATTAAGAAGCAAGATTATCTCCCAAGGAATTATTGAGTAATGGGTCATTCTCACCCTTTAGAAGATTAAGAAGAAATGTGAACTTCTGAGGAGGTCTGGTTAGTGCAGATGTGCAATATGCAGTTAAGGGGAGGGAGGAGACCCAAACAAGCAGGGAAAAATTTTATGTTTAAATTTTTCTTTTCTATAAAATATAGATTTTATTTCTTCACTACCTACCTATCATCATCATCTACCTATATATCACAAAATGCAGAGGCAAGTCTAGATCATTCTCATTTAACTTTGCAGTTTAACTGTTCCTTGAAATTCTAATTCTGGATACCAGAGATGTAGAGTTAATACTTCAGAGATGACCTTGCAGCTCCAGGCCTACTCTTAATTGTCTAGATAAACTTCTTCATCACTTGCTTTAACTAAAAACTCAGTTTCTCATAAGAGATTTATTACAGTGATGTGGGTAGTCTGGCCCAGTGCTACAGGAAGGTCTGAGGACTAGCATCACCATCATCACTTGGGAGCTTATTAAAAATGCAAAATCTCAGGCTCCAGCCCAGACCTACTGAGTTAAATGTTCTGGTGGAGGGGCCCACACACACCTAATTTAGTAAGTTCTCCGGGTGATTCTGATAAACTCTAACAGGGTATTAGTGCTAATCTATCCCGCAGAGATGATGCTGTTGATTTAGAACCAGAGTATTTCATTGTAAATTTTATCCTTGTTAGAGGAATCGGGTGTTGCCCTGAGCTGTCCACACTCCCTCAGCTGGTAACCAGAGTATTTCTGAGGCAGTAAATGACCCTTCATGGATCAACTTCTTGGAGGCCTTGGCGCCTCAGTGCCTTTTAGTTTGGAGGCTCTGAGAGATGAAGCATTCCCACTTGGTGAAAAGGCACTCATTGTTTTGCCTCAAAGAATCAGTAGGTCTTTTTGGTTTGAAATTATAGTTGATTTATAATGTTATATTAGTTTTAGGAGTGTAATACTGTGATTCAATATTTTTATAAACCATTATCCATTTAAAGTTGTTATAAAATATTGGTTATATTCCCTGTCCTGTACATTTCAATGGTCTCCAACTTTTTTAGCACCAGGGACGAGTGTCATGGAAGACAAATTTTCCATTGACGAGGGAGGAGGAAGGGGATGATTCAAGTGATTACATTTATTGTGCACCTTATTTCATCAGTGATCCATCAGGTGGATATGATTTCCACCTCAGATCATCAGGCATTAGATCCCAGAGGTTGGAGAATCCTGCATTACATCCTTCTTTCTTACTTATTTTATACTTAGTAGTTTGTGCCTCTTACTCCTCCTTCCCTGTCTTGGTGCTTTCCCTCTCCTCTCCCCAGTGGTAACCACTAATTCATTCTCTATATGTATGAGTCTGTTTTTCTTTTGTTGTATTCATTTGCCTGTTTTATTTTTTAGATTCCACATAGAAGTGAAAATATATAGTTCCTGTATTTCTCTGATTAGCTTCATTAAGTATAATACCCTTCAGGTCCATCTATGTTATTGCAAATGGTAAAATTTCATTGTTTTATGGTTTAGTAATATTCAATTATATTCCAACATCCCATTACATCTTCTTTAAAAAACTTTTTTTTTAGAGTATAGTTGATTTACAATGTTGTGTTAGTTTCAGGTGTACACCATAGGATTCAGTTATACATATACATATATTCATTTTTTTTAACATTATCTTCTCAATTAGGTTATTAGAGACTATTAAGTAGAGTTCCCTGTGCAGTACATTGTGTCCTTGTTGGTTATGTATTTTATATAATATATAGTAGTGTGTGAATATTAATCCCAGACTCCTAATTTATCCCTCCCCCCAGGTTTTCCTTTTATATCATCACATCTTCTTTATCCATTCATCTGTTGATGGACTCTTAGATTGTTTCCTTATCTTGGCTATTGTAGGTAATGCTGCTATGGGCAATCAGGGTGCATCCATATTTTCAAATTAGTGTTTTTGCTTTCTTTGGATGTCTAGCCAGGAGTAGAATTCTGGATAATCTGTAGTTCTGTTTCTGATTTTTTGAGGAAACTTCATACTGTTTTCTGCAGAGATTGCACCAGTTTACATCCCACCAACAGTGAACTAGTGTCCTGTGTAGTCTGCCTGTAACCAGTGGCTTTGATGGGAGAGTGAGATCTGAAGTGAGCACGTGCTGCGTCTTCCCCAGGGAGGGCTGGCAGCCACGGTCTTGGTGGGAGAAGGGTTGGAGCTGGAGGGGCTCGAGCCAGAGTCACATGTAAGCGGGGGCTGCTTCTGTGTTCAGTGGCCGTCACCACCGTGCTGGGGCTGAGGAGCTGGAGCTGGAGCCTTGAGGGAGTTGGGCTGCTTCTGGTTGTGTGGCAGAGCCCACGGGCTTACAGCTGGGCTTCTGTGCTGTTTTCACTTTTTTTTCCTGGAGTGTGGGCCTTGGTTAGGGTTGAGTCAGGCTGGAGGGGTTGGTGCCACATCACTGAGGCGGCCACACCCCTTCCCAAGTGTGTACGGGGCCAGGGGCTCCAGCCCAGGTTGGCTCTGCTCTGGAGCTAACGTCAGGTTGTGTGCAGGGACACGAGAGCTGGCCATGCTCGCCTCTGTCCTGGTCAGAGGCGGGACTGGGGTTTGGGCTGGCTTTGTTCCCAACAAGTTTGTCCACTCTCGTTGGCAACGGCAGCCTCCACCTTAGTGGGGAGTAGTGCTGGGGCAGGAAGGGCTAGAGCAGCGGCCTGGAGCAGGCTGGGATGTGTCCTGGGGTGGCCCAGGCAGCTTTTAATCTGCTACCACTGCACCATGACTGTAAATCAGTGTGTGTGCTCATCAGGAGTTTGGTTCTTGGTTTCTTAAAGCCCTTTGGTAAGCCCCAGTGGTTTTCAAACCAACTAAGAGGTCTTGTCTTCCTCATGTCTGACTCCAAGGCTGGGGTGCCTAATGAGTGCCTTAAACCCCTCGCTCCCCTGAGAGGAGCTCCTAGCCTGTGATATCCCCCTCCACTTCTCTTTCCCCCAAGCAGATTCCTTCTCCTTGTTTCCTAGCAGAATCTGTGTGGATCTTTCTTCTTTACAGCTAGTTGCCCGTGAGTCTCTCTCTTGGTAGCTGTAGTTTTGGTGTGTTCACAAGAGGGCGTGAACCCAGTATCCTTGTGCGCCACCATCTTGATCTCCAAAAACCCTCAGTCGTTCTTCTTGCTGAGAAGAAAATACCTGGTGAAAGAAAAGGGATAGTATAGTAAAAAGGGAGAGAATGCATGCAGGTCCTGGATTTATTTTCTGTTGACTCCCAACTCTTATATAAGATCAACAGCAGCTTCCCTTATTAACCTCCTGTGTGTGTGTGTTCAGTCGCTTCAGTCATGTCCGACTCTTTGCGACCCCTTGGACTGTAGCCCACCAGGCTCCTGTGTCCGTGGAATTCTCCAGGCAAGAATACTGGGTGGGTTGCCATGCCCTCCTCCAGGGGATCTTCCTGACCCAGGGATTGAACCTGGGTCTCCTTCATTGCAGGCAGATTCTTTACTGCTGAGCCACCAGGGAAGCCCCTATTAACCTCCTAAGGCTGTGTAAATGATGATCATTAAAGGGTTTTGTTAGGATTAAATGGGCCAACCCAAGTCCTCCAGGACAGCCTCAGGAGCAAACCCCAGTGGGCCACATGCAGAGGTGGAAATAAAACCACAATTGAAACCCAGGGGCAGTGTGGCTAAGGAAGAAGACCCAAAACCTTCCCACCAGCTATACAAGCTGCAGATTAAATCCACACAAATAACGAGGCAGACTCTGTCTCTACGGAATATATAAAAGGACATTGAGAGCTCCCACAAAAGAAAATGCACTAGCTCTGAGGCGAGAACACACAGGAGCAGAACCATATTAGAATCCGAGCTGCCCCCACAGCAGGTCCAGAGATCAGCACAGTGTCGGAGGGCATCCTAGGGAAGTGGGGTGGACTGTGACTCCCAGCAAGGGAAAGGACTCTGACGGCAGTGACTCAAGAAAAGCATTTATTATTCTTATGTTTTGACTTGTTCCACAGATTCTTTTGGATTTTTTCCCTCTCTCCCTATCCCTGTTGTAGTTGTCGATTTTATTGGCACTGTGAAATTTAATTAAGCTTTTGAGCTTTTTTTCCCCAGTCACATTTCTTATTGTTGTTATAAACTTTTGCCTGTATCTTGGGCTTTTGCGATTCTGTGGAATTTTCCTTTTTTTTTCTATTTCTTTTCTCTTTAATTTGTAAACCTATTAATAAAAAAAAAACTATTAATATTTTTCTACATTTATTCCTCTGTTTGCTTTTCCTACTGTTCTTTTCCCCTTGAAGTTAATATTTAATGTATATAAATCTTATTTATCGACCTCTATTTAACTTTGCATATCTCTTCTTTCTTTCCTTTCCTCTCAACATATTTCGTAATTTTGTTTTCATTGCTTTATTCCCCACTTGGCATCTTGCTTTAGTTTTATTTTCCAGTTTTTGCTTTAGTTAGTTTTGTTCTTAACTGGTAAATATAATTTTTGATTTCCTTTGTTCAGCAGGTCAATCTACTGTACTTTATTTTTATTGGACTGTTTTGACTTTGCTTATGGGTGTATACACTTTTGTGTATATTCCATTGTTTTTATTATTATTTGCCTGATTTTGTAACTGCCATTTGTCTGGGATTTCTCTTTGGTTTCTCGTTTTTGAGTATTTGTTTTAATATCACTTAATGCCATAACAAACCACTTGTGAAATCTTCGATCCTGACCAGAGATTAAACCCTAAGCCTTTGGAGTGGGAACACTGACTCCAAGACTCTGGACTACCTGATAACTAATCCTCAGTTCAATTTAGTCACTCAGTCGTGTCCAACTCTTTGCGACCCCATGAACTGCAGCATGCCAGGCCTCCCTGTCCATCACCCACTCCCAGAGTTTACTCAAACTCATGTCCATCGAGTTGGTGATGCCATCCAGCCATTTCATCCTCTGTCGTCCCCTTCTCCTCCTGCCCCCAATCCCTCCCAGCATCAGGGTCTTTTCCAATGAGTCAACTCTTTGCATGAGGTGGTCAAAGTACTGGAGTTTCAGCTTCAACATGAGTCCTTCCAATGAACACCCAGGACTGATATCCTTTAGGATGGACTGGTTGGATCTCCTTGCAGTCCAAGGGACTCTCAAGAGTCTTCTCCAACACCACTGTTCAAAGGCATCAATTCTTCAGGGCTCAACTTTGTTTATAGTCCAACTCTCGCATCCATACATGACCACTGGAAAAACCATAGCCTTGACCAGATGGACCTTTGTTTGCAAAGTAACGTCTCTGCTTTTTAATATGCTGTCTAGGTTGGTCATAATTTTCCTTCCAAGGAGTAAGCGTCTTTTAATTTCATGGCTGCAATCACCATCTGCAGTGATTTTGGAGCCCCAAAAAATAAAGTCTGACACTGTTTCCACTGTCTCCCCATCTATTTCCCATGAAGTGATGGGACCAGATGCCATGATCTTAGTTTTCTGAATGTTGAGCTTTAAGCCAACTTTTTCACTCTCCTCTTTCACTTTCATCAAGAGGCTTTTTAGTTACTCTTCACTTTCTGCCGTAAGGGTGGTGTCATCTGCATATCTGAGGTTATTGATATTTCTCCCGGCAGTCTTGATCCCAGCTTGTGTGTCTTCCAGCCCAGTGTTTCTCATGATGTACTCTGCATATAAGTTAAATAAGCAGGGTGACAATATACAGCCTTGACATACTCCTTTTCCTATTTGGAACCAGTCTGTTGTTCCATGTCCAGTTCTAACTGTTGCTTCCTGACCTGCATATAGGTTTCTCAAGAGACAGGTCAGGTGGTCTGGTATGCCCATCTCTTTCAGAATTTTCCACAGTTTATTGTGATCCATACAGTCAAAGGCTTTGGCATAGTCAATAAAGCAGAAATAGATGCTTTTCTGGAACTCTCTTGCTTTTTAGATGATCCAGCAGATGTTGGCAATTTGATCTCTGGTTCCTCTGCCTTTTCTAAAACCAGCTTGAACATCTGGAAGTTCTTGGTTCATGTATTGCTGAAGCTTGGTTTGGAGAATTTTGAGCATTACTTTACTAGCGTGTGAGATGAGTGAATTGTGCGGTAGTTTGAGCATTCTTTGGGATTGCCTTTCTTTGGGATTGGAATGAAAGCTGACCTTTTCCAGTCCTGTGGCCACTGCTGAGTTTTCTAAATTTGCTGGCATATTGAGTGCAGCACTTTCACAGCATCATCTTTCAGGATTTGAAATAGCTCAACTGGAATTCCATCACCTCCACTAGCTTTGTTTGTAGTGATGCTTTCTAAGGCCCACTTGACTTCACATTCCAGGATGTCAGGCTGTAGGTGAGTGATCACACCATCATGATTATCTGGGTCATGAAGATCTTTTTTGTACAGTTCTTCTGTGTATTCTTGCCACCTCTTCTTAATATCTTCTGCTTCTGTTAGGTCCATACCATTTCTGTCCTTTATCGAACCCATCTTTGCATGAAATGTTCCCTTGGTATCTCTAATTTTCTTGAAGAGATCTCTAGTCTTTCCCATTCTGTTGTTTTCTTCTATTTCTTTGCATTGATCGCTGAGGAGGGCTATCTTATCTCTCTTTGCTATTCTTTGGAACTCTGCATTCAAATGGGAATATGTTTCCTTTTCTCCTTTGCTGTTCACGTCTCTTCTTTTCACAGCTATTTGTAAGGCCTCCTCAGACAACCATTTTGCCTTTTGCATTTCTTTTCCATGAGGATGGTCTTGATCCCTGTCTCCTGTACAATGTCATGAACCTTTGTTCATAGTTCACCAGGCACTCTGTTTTTCAGATCTAGTCCCTTATATCTATTTCTCACTTCCACTGTATAGACATAAGGGATTTGATTTAGGTCATACCTGAATGGTCTAGTGATTTTCCCTACTTTCTTCAATTTAAGTCTGAATTTGGCAATAAGGAGTTCATGATCTGAGCCACAGTCAGCTCCCGGTCTTGTTTTTGCTGACTGTATAGAGCTCCTCCATCTTGGCTGCAAAGAATATAATCAGTCTGATTTTGGTGTTGACCATCTGGTGATGTCCATGTGTAGAGTCTTCTCTTGTGTTTTTGGAAGAGGGTGTTTGCTATGACCAGTGCATTCTCTTGGCAAGACTCTATTAGCCTTTTCCCTGCTTCATTCTGTACTCCAAGGCCACATTTGCATGTTACTCCAGGTGTTTCTTGACTTCCTACTTTAGCTAATCCTAGGGAGTATCAAATAGTGAGAACTCACACAGAGGAAACCCTTCAATACAAGATCTGGCATCACACAACCACCAGTAGCACCCTGTGCAGGATGTCTCATCTAAACAACAAACAAAACAAAAATACAAACCCAATCATTAGCAGACAGGATTATCACCTCACTCAGCCTTGGCCATCAGTGGAAAAACAAACAAGCAAACAAACAAAAACTCAGCATAAATCTCACCCTATATGAAGCTTAC